GACTTCTCCTTCCTGGCAACAAGTCCTGCCAAAACAACTATGGCAAGTGGTAAACCCCCACAATTCTCAACAATGGATCTACCCAGAGGCTCTAGATTAGAAGGGCACTCCTCACCTCGAAACACTTTCTTCGAGAAGAGTTCCCAACTCTCGTGTTTATCGAGGAGGGGAAGGTAGTAGGGGGAAGTTGTTCCTGTATAGTGTGCCACCTCCTTGTCACGACTTGTTATTAGTATTCTGCTACCTGTTTGGTGATCTGGGAAAGCACCTTTGACCTTGTCCCATTGTTGGGTTTCCCATATGTCGTCAAGCACTACCAGGTACTTCTTTCCCTTCAACACTTCTGCTACCCTCTTCTTCAGTTCTTCCTCACTCAATTCTTCACCTCCAACCGTTGTTTTCTTGAAAAAATCATTATATTCAGACGCAGACAGCAAACACTTCAGAAGGCTCAGGAAAAGCTCCCTAGGCCTATAATCATTGGACGGTTTTTGCACCAAACTAGCCATATACCCTCTTTATTACCAAAATGGGCAAATTTTGACCAAAGTGAAGTCGGGGGCCAAAAGGACTTCAATTGAAGAAGTCGTGCCCCTGACCAGGTTGAAGTCGTGCACCCTGTTCCATAATAAATGATTGAGAAAGAACTTACTTAAAAGAATTCAGGATTTTATGGTGCAAACACAGCATCATTAATTAAAGCGTGGAGGAACCTACTAAGAAGTTGTCTATGTCCACCTAATTAATACTCCATAAAAAGTCGTCCTAATTGACCGTTTGATATGAGTATGTGTGTGGCCAATCAATGCAGGGATAAGGAAGCAATTTCGTGGAAGAAAAGGTGCTACACATTTTGATATGCTCTTTCTCACGAAACATGGCAACGCGTATAAATGAAGAAAAAAGAGGACAGACTTAGCTGTGGAACAATGTTTCTGAAATGTTTTGGTGACACGAGTTCATCTCGGTGACAATATGCACATTTTGGAACTATGTTTCTCAGTTGTTTGGGTATGTCCTGTTGGAAGCCCACATCGAATACAGACTCATCTCTGAGACAGTTTTTAACAGTGATACAAGAGCTGTGCCATCAATTTTCTCTCGCCGATCTAAGAAAAGCCACCAATAACTTCGATCTAAACAGAGTAATAGGAAATGGAATGTTCAGTGAAGTATATAAAGGCTATCTACAGCATAATGGTGCTTCTGATTAAGCGGTCGCAATAAAGCGATTTAACGATCAAGGATGCGAAGCGTTTAACAAGGAAATAGAATTGTTATGCCAGCTTCGTCACCCCAGATGTGTGTCTCTCAGGATTCTGCAACCACGAAAATGAGAAGATTCTTGTATACGAGTACATGTCCAATGGGTCTCTAGATCAACACCTGCAAGATGCTGAACTATCATGGAAGAAGAGGCTACGGATATGTATAGGAGTAGCAAGTGGACTACACTACCTTCACACTGGAGCCAAGCGTTCCATCTTTCACTGTACACTCGGTCCTAGTAGCATCCTTTTGGATGACCACATGGAGCCAAAACTCTCTGGTTTTGGTGTTAGCGTGCAGGGATCACGCTTTAAGTCAAAGTAGAAACAAATCAATGTAGAGCATGCTATAGGTAATTTTTGTTTTGTTTTACGAGCAATGAATTTATTTTTGTGGGTTAAACTAAGCTAATAATTTTTCTTATAGGTTCTTGGATCTATATGGCCACAGAGTATGTCATGGATGGTACCATCACAGATAAATGGGATGTTTTCTCCTTTGGTTTGGTTCTACTGGTAGTGGTGTGCAGGAGGACGTATCATTTAATAACCCTCTCTGAGAAAGAACTTCTGGAGAATCCTGTTGAGGAGAAAATTGATCCTATTATCAAAGGAAAGATTGCACCAGATTGTTGGCAAGTGTTTGTAGATGTCATGGTGAATTGCTTGAAGTATGAAGCAGATGAGCGACCTACAATGGGTGAAATCGAGGTGCAACTTGAGCACGCTCTGTCGATGCAGGAACAAGCAGATATCACAAACTCCAACCGCGATTATATATTATTGTCCAAAACTATTATTCCCATGCAAGTGAAACAGAATGTGTTGTGAGAAGAGAAGTTCGTGAAATTTAATTTGGTGGCTACTTTGTTATATAGGTTTAGTGGTTAAAAGAAGAGATTATTTTAAGGTTACTCTTGTTTTTTCTCTTTTTTTAATACAATATGTTTTTTTTTCGCAAGAAAGAAGGATATTCTAGTTTTTCTTTTTTCTTTTAACAAAGTTACATTATTAATTATTGTCTCTTTCTTTCTTTTTCATTTTTTAATTTTAATTATTGTCTGTTTTATATTTTATTTATCCTTTATATTAGTTATATTACTATATATGATAGTCAAGAAATGTAAGAGACTAGGTCCACCAGAATAAAGTTAGAATAATATTTTTAGTAAAAAATAGTTACATTAAGCTGAAATTAGCTCAGAATTTAGATACTTATGTAGCTTCCAACATTTTTTATTTTAACAGAAGCTGTCAAAATAATCGTGTGCTAGAAACTAGTAAAGATAGAAACTCCTTGCATTTTCAGGCTATAAATTGTTCTCTCTGCATAACAATAACATAAACTCCTTGCATTTTCAGGCTATAAAGTGTTGGAGATTTATATTTCACACAATCCAATCTCTTGTCAGTTGATTTCACATCCCAACTATATATAAGGTCATTAGCCAGAACACTAAAAGACAAGCAGAAAAATTTTACTTCATTCCAGAAAAGTTCCTCAATCTTACGAAGGGTTCAAAATACAAGTAGGCCACAAGCCATGGAAGTGTAATATGCTCACTACATTCACAAGCATGGACATCGCAAACATAGACTTTAGTCTTTCGAGTGCGATATAAATTTGTATAGTCTTTCGAGTGTTTGATCCGACAAGCTCTTTAACTAAGAGCAATTACAAATCCTTGGATTCATTAATGGTGTAAATTAGGTTCTTAAGTCGTTTATCAATGACTTGAAGATCTTCTCATAACTCGGCTGACAGACATTGTCTCTTCATTTCTGTCGATTGATTTGTCACGGTCTCCATTCGAGTTATGTACTCGACTACTCGTTTTCTCTCTTTTATCTTCAAAGTTTTCAAACTCGCTTATGAGAGTTTGAAGTTGGACTTGCTTAATATGGTCATCCCTCTGTATGTCTTCTCCAAGATATCACACACTTCTCTTGAAGATGTAGCTTTTGCTATCTTCTCAAAGCCGAACTTGTCCACAACTATGTACAATATGTACAAATCCAATTTGTCCTTTCCTCGCATTTTCTCATAGAAATATGGGCAATCGTCTGTTCTTCATCTTCCGCCAATTCTTGGTACTCATTCTAAACAACATTCCACACGTTTTGATATCCAATAAGAGTCTTTATCTACAGACTTCAGTTATCATAGTTGACTTTCTTCGTCAACTACGACATGAACATATCGTTTACAAGATTAGCTATCTCACTATCTCTTCCTCAAACACTCAAGCAAACTTGCTCTCTATTTTTTCACTCAGTTACTCAGGAACAAATACCAATTTGTTGGGAAATAATGTCAGATACGTATAATCTAAATTGTAACTTTGTGTATTTTCTTTGAATTCTATAGGCTATTATATTGTTGTGAACACTAATTAAATAATATTGACCAACACTAACCGAATAATACTAATTGAGTATATTATACAAAAAAACTAAACAACTACCAAACAACAAAAACTAGAAACGGAATTGCAAATAAACCTTGATATTTAATTTTATCCTAACAGACCCACTGTTAGGCTACGAGGTTGGCCTGCTTGTTTTTTTTTTTTGTCATTTAATATCATATGTAAATGGGCTGGAATTTTTTATTTTTTACATGAAAACAAGCTAACGTCAAACTGGCAGGCTTATTTCAAGCTGAAAGGGTTGAAACGAGTTGTTTTCTAATTGTTTTAAGGTTTAATATATTATTTGGTCTCTAGTTTTGAACATTTTATTCAAAGTTGTCTTATCTTTTAAAAAAATTTAGTAATATATCTCGTTAAAAACAATTCAAAATGGTCATTTTGGTTTAGGACGTTAAAAACATAACGGTGTAATTATCTTGTGACGACGAAAACTGAATGATGTGTACAGTTTTTGATTGTATAGCAAGTGAGGTCAATAACATTGGCAAGGTATGTGAAAATGTTAAAAAATTGAAGTTATTAAATAAAGAAAAGGGTTAGAATTTGTGCAAAGAATTTTAATCTGTCGGGCCCTTTTTACCGTCACTAACTATATCACCAGGTGAATCTACCTAATTTTTCTACGGCCATATTGGGTTGGATGAATTTCTCTATAAACATTTCTAGAAATAAAAGTCTTTGAACTTTTCCAACTGCTTATTCTCATTTTGACTAAGTCAGACTTTCATATGCAGGTCCCAGTCTTTGAACTAGAGCAAACAATATCTGAAATGAATGCTTGGTGAGAAATGAACACAGCCTTGTTAAAAACTTTAGGGGATCTTATTTTGGCGAGCCAACCCTAATATTCTTCTTGTCAGGCCTCGAAAAAAAAAAAAAAAAAAAAAAAAAAAAAAAAAAAAAAAAAACGAGCGTTCGGTGGAGTCTACGTGGCGAGCGCAGAACGAGCCACCTCAGCGACGCACATGGGCGACAGCAGCGCCTGACATCCACTAACGGACGCCAGTTGTCGCACGGTATGGGCAGTATGGAATCTGAAGTGGAAAACACGTGGCGACCGCAGATTGGACGTCCGGCTTGGGCAATCAGAACCGGTAGTGGAAACTGGTAGTGGAATGCACGTGTCCGCCTGGGAGTGGACGACCGTTCGGTATGGGCTGTCAGAAAACCAGAGGTGGAAAGCATGTGTCTGCCAGGCTGTAAACGTGCGTTCGACAGGCAGTGGGAGGCAAAATCTGAGAGTTTCAGAACTTATTCTCCACTCTCTGCGCACACCCTCATTCTCGTTTCTGAAGAGAACCATCCTCTCCTTCTCTCTAAGTTCTCTGAACCTTCTCTCTAAGGAAACCATTGTTTAATCTCCTCCGTTGAGTATTCCAGCACCGTAGAAGGACGCTCGGCGTCAAGAGCTTCTAGAGGAACCGTTCGGTTGGCGAAGCTGGACTGGTAAGACCATTCCCCGCTCTCTGTCGTTCGTTTTCCATGCATGCAAACTCAGTTCTGAGTTCGTACGTTCGTCATCCTTCTTAGAAATGATTAGATCTGTTTTGGTGTCGGGGCTCGTTCATTGTAGTTTGGTTTAACAAGCGTTGACGAGCGGGGGAAACTGTAGTGGAGAAGAGTGTTGTGCGTCTGTGGACGTTCGGTCATCTAAGAGGTAAGGGAAGCTTATTTAATTTAACTGGTTTGATGTATGTTGTGTGAACGTTCGTTATTTAGCTGCATGAAAATAATGCATGATGGATGATATGAGTGAATGGTATGAACGTTCGTTATTTGATTGTATGAGTATAATGCATGATATTTGATTTACTGAAGTACATGAACGTTCGTTATTTTGGTGAAATGAGATATATGAATTTACATGAGATGATTTGTATGAAATGTGGAAGCTGATGT